ATGTGGAAAGGAAATCCCAGTATTGAACTTTCGATATGATTGTGTTCCTTCCCCTCCCTTTATTGAAAATAGCTTAGAGAAGACAGGGGACCTAATCATTGCTAATTTGTCAATGCATTAAATATATGATTGCTGGGCACCAACTCTGTACTTGGCCCTGAACCAACCATCTTTCTGGCATTTGCAATTGTCTTTAATAATGGTGAGGCAGGGAATGAAAGTGTCTGTAGTTTGCAAATACAACCTTTATTATTTTATGATCTTTCCGGAGATACAGAAAAATCACATCTCTACATTTCTACATTATCAACAGAACTTAAAACTAAAATCAAGATGTTTATAGGCAAGGAGGTGATTGGTGTTTATGATAAGGAATACCTCATGACATTTTAAAACTCACGAAATAAAACCTTGGGATGTGATAGAAAATGGAAACAGTATTGGCCCTGGTGCTATGTCACAGAACAGCGATGGAGATTTATTTAGGAACCACGTAGGAGAGAAGAATCGAAATGGCATCCTTTGAACTTATTTCTTTTCTGACCTTTTGAAGTTGCCAAGTTCAACTAATTTTCTACTCATGGTTACATCTGAAGTGGGTTGCAGAGGCATGAACCAACAGTTCAGAGGAAACAGTATGCATCCCAACTTTCTGTATGAATGAAAGGGAAACAAAAGATTCATATCTCTGTTTTTAATTAACCATCTACCAAATCAAACATTGGCCTTTGTTCATCAGCAGGAAAAAAATGGTTCCAGTTATACCTGTGCACTTGTGGGATTCTGGGAAGAAATTTCCACCAATAAAGATATTCCTTTAAAATTTTTTTTGATCACTAAGGCAATAAAGATGTCAAAGAAAACACGAGCAAATTCTCATATTGAAGCAATAAATGAGTTAATTACCTTCAAGAAGTTACTTTAAAGAAGTAAGCTGTTTGTGGTGTGTGGGTGTCCGTGTGTGTGTGTGTGTGTGTGTGTGTGTGTGTGTGTGTGTGTGTGTGTGTGCGCGCGCTCATTTCTTGATATAGCATTTCAGAAGCTGGAAGAATCTTCCTTGGTTTATGTAAGCATTCTGAAATCTATGCATAAGACACCAATGTTAGGAGTGTTTCCTTACACTTAAAGGAAAGTTAGTCTCTTTGCCTTCAGTAATGCCAACAGTGCTGAACAGAAAACACCATAAAGAAAACTATGCTGCTTCTCTGTCTCAATGAGTTACTGTACCAAATATAAAATTACTGAAACCAGTATCAGCAGCATCACCGAGCACAGTATTTTCAAAAGGAAGCCTTGGGACTCTCAGTTCATAGCAATAATTGAAGGGTTGCACAGATTATACTTCTCTCTTGATTTGTCAACCATAAAACTTGGGTGCTGGACCACACAAGTGGACGGAAGTATCAATTAAATGTCATTTTACCCACTGAATGCTTTTGGAACATTGCATGGAATATTTGCTCAAATTGGAATGTTGATAAAGCCATGGGGGAAAAAGCACTTTTAGGTAGAAAAATATAGATTGTTTTTCTTTCTTAAAGCTTTAATTTACTAATATTGATGAGATTTTTCTGAGCAGTTGTTGAAGTATGTTCTTGTTCTTTTCCACGCCAATAAACAATGAAGAAGAACCTAGAAAGCAAGGCTCAGAGCTCTGGGCTTTGGAATATACATTATGTTCTCATTCTTTGGAGTTTTTTTTTTAATTTTATTTTTACTTTGCTCTAAGAATCTGATCTTCCTGGAACATCAGACCTTATGTGTTTGCATAGTTTTCAGGAAATATTACACAGTAACTATATTCATACACTAGAGATCTATTTTATCCTGCTGAGTAAACTTGATGACTTTTGGTTAATCTTGTTTGATATTGACAGGGAACATTTTACCACTGGGTCTTTCAACTGTGTTCAGTGCTAAATTGAGTACTTTAGGCAAATACTGCCTTGACCACAGTTTGATATTTTGTAAAATTCAAGTAAAATTATTTTCAAAGGCAAGGCCATCCTTTTCTTTAGGGTTCTTAGGGCAACAAATGGAGCTACTAGTCTAGTGATTGCTGTTTTAATGCGATCTGTTCTTTAGCCAATTCGTACAGCTGCGAGAACTTAAGGAGAGGTATCCTAACACCAGCAAGGCAAAACAGAAACAGAATGGTCCTGCGTGTAGAGACTCACTCACACATTGGGAGTCTGGAGAGTTTCAGGAGACAATAAGTCATCGATCAGAAGTATTGATTTTTAGTAGCAATGATGATTAGAAATGTAAGATCCAATTTGAATAGGGGGATTAGCAAACTTTGCAGGGCAGCATTATGATCTATACTCTAAATAGAGCTTTCACAGATCGTTGGCCAATGACTAAAATACTTGGCCATTCTGTAATACTCTTTTGGGCAGTGTGGGGAATGGAATGAAGAAGATAAACAGCTCTCACAGCAGCGATTGCCGGAGTTGCTAGAAAACACTCCTTTACAGGAACAATTTTCCTCAACTTCCGATTCTCTTCAGAGTAAAGAGGATGGAGGGGGAAAAAAGAAAGAAAAGAAAACACAAAACTGATGATTTAAAGTCTAAGGTAATTTAAAATCTCGGGACCACTCCAGCATGAAATGACAATGTGACAAGCAGCTTCACAATTGCTAAAGCACAGTTACAGAATATTATTATCAGTATCAGTAGTCACTAAGGAGGAAAACCCTAGAATTTCTTTCAACCACAGAGCTCAGGGAAGTGGAAAAACGTGTCTGGACAAGATGATTACGGAGAAGTCCCTATGAGGAAAGAATAATCTAGCCCTCAGAATACATCTTTCAATGATGTATTACTCTTCTTAAATGAAGACTAGTTCTCTCCTCTCTTTCTCTCTCTTCTCTCTTTCTCTCTCTGTCTCACATACACACACACACACACACACACACACACACACACACACACACACACACACACACACACGAGAAAAATCCCAGCAAAATTGAACACGGATGAAAACAGCTAGGGAGAAATTTCAGTGATGTTCAGTGTGAACGACAGAGCTCATTTTGCATGCAGTCTGAATGAATGGAAAATCCCACTCTCGGTCTTACATAAATATACCCCCCTCCTCAATACCACCACACATAGTTTTTCCATTTGGAAAGGCTCTTATAATAAAGCCAGAGGTGACAGCTCAGGGAAGGGTTTGTAACCATTGAGATAGCTGTCAGGGGTATTCTAAAGAGAAGCAGCGCTTGGAAACGGCCCCAGCCAAGCCTCGTTCATCTCTCTGCTTGCCCGTGGTGCCAGATGCGAGAGAGGACGTGGTTCTGAAATACCTTTTTATGCATCGGCTGGTTCCCACGGCCAGCCCACAAATACCGTGAAGCTGGATGACAGCAAACAGCGGGCTGATGTGATTAGCGGCTCTGCACACCGAGGGATTGTCGGATCATAACCCCCTAAAGAGGCAACTCTTGCAGAATTCTTCAGGCGATCATGGTAAAGTTGAAAGGGCCCTTCTCTCTCGCTCCCGCTTGCCTGGTTATAAGCTCAATCCTTTAATTGGAGCCGAAGTGAGCAGCCTGCCAGCCTGACATTCCCCCCCACCCCCCGCCGCCCATTACGGACTAACGTTGTGCGTTTGCAACAAGAGACAATTAATGTTGTTTGATTTCTTACACTTAGCAACCCAAGCAAGCAGCTGCCATCTCCGCTCCGCGTAGGCAAATGGCTAGTCTTTTACGTGCCCACCGGCTCTCTGTGCTTGCGGGCAAGGGTCCACGATCAGAAAACTTTGAAAGAAAAAAATATATATATCATTTGGCCAGATTGAGTGGGGGAAATGTTTGGTCTTGGAGAGGAAAACACACACACTCACACACACACACACACACACACACACACACACACACACACACACAATCAGAGGAGATCGAGGATACCTGTTGGCATCAGCAATGACCATCGCGCGTTTCACCATGCCCAGTCTTGGCTGGAGCCCTGGAGAACGGGAAGCGATCCCTCGCGAACCTGTTACGCACTGCACTGGTAGAATCCGGGCCAGCATCCCCTTTCCTCTGGTCCTAAGAGGGGCGCCGCCCGCCCCCCGCCCTTCCCGTGGGTTCCGGGATGCAGTACGACTGCACGCGCATCTCTTGATTCTGTGGGCTCCGAAGGGGCTGGAGGAGGCGTCCCAAGCTCGCGGAGGGGGGTTGGGTGGGGGGGGGGTGTCTCTTGGAGCGCAGTCTCCAGGGCTCAGGGCAATGCTGCTTGGGGTGAGCAGAGGAGGGGGGTGTCCTACCCTGACATAGGGCAGCCTTGAACGAAGATTGAGTCTCCAAGCTGCTCGGAAGCCCCTCAAGTTTGCAGCGGGCGCCGCGCCCCCGCCCCCTCCCCGGCTCCCCCCCCAAGCTGGAGCGGCCACTTGTGGGAAAGCCTGGATCCAGGGGTGCTCGCGGTAGAGCAGGCCCCCCCCCCTCCGCGCCACAGGGGTCGCCACCCAAGCTCGGGAGATGGAGAGGTCCCGCGAGGCAGCGATCGCACCCCTCGGTCCCCTCCCACACACCCCGGGCTAGGCGTCTCACCCTGCTCGGGCTGGGCGGCGGGTGCTTCCCATTCACCGCACGGACCCCGCAGTGGAGACGCGCGGCTGCGGCGGCTCCTGCCCAAGTCGCCAGGCGGCAGAATCTCCAGGCGGCCCCGAGGAGGGAGCCGAGCAAGGGAACCGAGGGGCGCAGCCTGGAGCTTCTTGTACCCCTTCTGAATCTGCTTGTAGAGCAGTTTGCAAAAACTGCCAGTCTCCCCCCCCCCCCAAAAAAAAAACAACCCCCTCCCGCCACAAATGATAAAACCGGGAGATTCAGCTTAGCCCGTGCCAAAGCTAACCACCCTCATCCACCATCCCCGGGCGGGGGGGGAATCGGATTTGGGACCCAGGGTGCGGGAAAGGTTGTCCGAAAAGAAAGAAACCCCCTTCAATGACTCCCAAGCCAGAAGGAATAGGCGGATGGAGGGAATACCTACCCGTGTGGAGCTCCGCACTGGCGAATTTCAAGCCTTCTGGTTCACAAATGGCTGGAGGGACTCGGGGTCGGTTCCCGAGGGCGGCGAGCGCCGAGCGGTCCCCGCGCGCTGGCCAGGCGCCTTCGGATTCCGTTCATGCCTTCGTAGAGCTGCGGGGCTCGGTGCCAAGACACGGGGCGGAGGCGCTGGGTTCCCGAGGCTGGGGGTGGGGTGGGGGGGGAGAGGTCCGCAGACCAAAGTGCAGCCTGGTGGGTTGATGTTTCCCCTGTCTCTACCCCAAGCCGGCGCTGATGGTGGTGATAATGATGGTGGTGGCGGAGCTTTGAAGAAAGAGAGAGATTCCAAATAAATCCACTAATTCCGGGCTGAGCGCTCCGGCGTGCGAGCCCGCCTGCCTGCCAAATGTAACTGTGAAGTGATGTGGAAAAGTGAGCCGGGTGCCTCCCCTGACGGATCTCATTGGGCAGAGCGCAAAGGCAGGTCTACCACTTGGAAATTCGTGTAAGCGGTCCCCCCCTCCCCGCCCCCCCTCCCTGCCTCTCTCCTGCGCTCTCTCGATCTCTCTCTCTCTTGCTCTCTCTCAGTGTCTCTCTCTCTCCCGCGCGCGCTCGCCCGCCCGCCCGCCCGCCGCTCTCTTTCTCCCGACCAAGTGGGCGCACAACTTTTCGCTCCTCGCGCTCCCTAGCACACCCCGCGAGCGCGCGCGTCTCCGCCGCCAGTGACACGGGATGGAGATGCGCCCTAGCCATAGTGCGCGCACGGCCCATCCAAGACCCAAGCTGTTTGGATAAACGAGATGACAGATGAGAAAATAAAAGGCTGCGGAGGAGGAGGTACCCGTCAGCTTTCTCTCTCCAGGGCTCACCTGAGCTTTGGAGCTAGCATTATCTCAGCCACCCAGAGCTGTTTGCCGTTGGGGTGGAGGGGTGGGTGGGGAAGGGGCTGGGGGTGAGGGATGCCTCAGGACCAGCAGTGTGCGTGGGCAATTTATGGTTGCTTGATTTCAAGGGCTATCTAGAGAACAGATTGTTTGTCAGATCAGGACGTCCCTAGATCAGTGGTTGTGCGTCATGGTCCTGAGGTGAAGCGATTCCTGATCTCCAGATGATTTTATTCCTTTGAGGAAACGGGATGATGGACAGCAATGGGGCAGCTACGCGGGATATGGAGTTAAGCGGATGTGGATATGTATATATATATACATACATATATATATATATATATGTAAGGCAGAACTTGCTGGGAGCAGTAAAGGCAAGGGTTTCCACATTTCTGCCTGCACACCAGTCTTGTCTTTCCCTTTGCTTCCACCAAGAGACGCTTTGTAGGTGGCCCCTTGAAGTCCTGTGATGCACTTCAAGACTGGGCTTGGGAAATGGCCACCCAGGTGTAGAACCATTGCAAGAAAAAGGTTGTCATCTCGAAGACATCTTTACCTTGGATTACGGAGGCACAGCTCTGATCACAGTTTTAACAAAATGAGTGAAATAAATGTCATAGTATTTCTTACCTTTAAACCCCACAGGACACCCTGATTTATTCCGTTTATTTCACTCCAGACATGAAATCTGAGGATGGCATTTGTGTGTGTGTGTGGGGGGGGGGGGGGGGAGATGGAGCCATAGCCTAAGGGGGAAAGGATGATACAGAAGACTAGACCCAGTCTGTAGAGCTTGTACTGTCTGATTGAATTAAGGAGAAAGAGTGAACAGAAGGGAAACATAGACACACTGTGCTTATAATGTTTATGGAAATTTGACTTTTGTGATTGTGAATCTAACTTCCTATTGTAAAACATTGAAAAGAACATTGACTGTAGGTCTGATATCTGTTTGCTTCACATTCTGGGAATCACGGACAAGAAACTTAGTGAATAATTTTATAGAAGATGAAGTGAAGTGGACTAGGAAGTAGTTTCTTCCTTGCAATCCCCAGAAAGCCATGGTTATTTATTCTCTTCATTGAGTGTCTGAGAGAAGGGGCATGGGGAGGCGGAGACAGAGGCTGTGTGTCAGAGAGAATCAATCCTCAATTGAATTATAAGTATTCTTAGACTCAGACAGTCACAAGTGAACAATGACATTAATCACACTTTAGGTTGTGTTTAATTTTCAGACGTTCATTGTTCACTTTAATGAAAGGTATGAACAACTGATCTAAACATTTACTTGGGGGCACCCTGCGTATACCTGTGAAACCTGTAGGAAAGGTCTTATGTAATAGAAGGAAGGGGATGGTCACAAACTCATCCCAAAAGAAAATCAGAGTACTAGACAAACAGCAGCTTCAGCTCTTCTCTTCTGACAGAAATCTGTGCTGTCAAAGGGAAGAGAGTAAGAAGGCAGTGGTTTAAGTACCTTCTTTGGACTAGCCCAATCCTCGTTTGTCCTTTGAGCAGCCCTTGAGGACCTTGTCCTCTTCGACTCTTCTCTTCTTCTCTCTAAAATTTTAGGTAACCCTTTCTCCATCTGCTAATCTGTTTGAAGTACTGAGGGCAGGCATTTCCTCATGAATCCTTAAAAGGGGTTTGGGTGATTAAGAAGTGTGAAAGAGGATTAGGGTAATGTTAAAAAGCCTTAGAAGAAGGGAAATAAAATAAAACCCGGGATGCAGAAGGACAAGGCATTCATCTCTTTAACAATTCCACCCACCGCTAATAGAATGCATTGTAAAGTCACACTGGGGAGAGCCTATCCCCTTAAGAAAGTTCTTTTCTTTCCAGTCCCCCTCTCCCCAACCAAAAACCACATCATCCCCTCCAGGATTATAGCCTTCCATCAGGAAAAGGATTGTGCTATGTAGGCTTTTTAGAATGAGACCTACATTGCCTATGCTGTGAAGTATTGCAGGGGAGGAGTTGTGAGGAGTTATCTGATAGGAGTGGAGGATAGATACAGGGAAGGCTGGTGTGTGTGTGGGGGGGGGGGGGGTGGAGAAAGAGTTGCATTCAGAATAACCTTGGCTGTGATGCAAACAGTGAGCAGGATGAGGCTGGATCTCTCCAGCTTGGGAGATATCTCCATGACAGGCAGAGAGTTTTGCGGAGAATCCACTGCAGCTTAGAGGAAATGAGATGGAGAGAGACTCCAAGTAGCAAATGGATATTTTCTTCGTTCAGAAAGGCTGGAACTTCAGTGAAAATCTGGCTAAAAGAGGCGATAAATCAACTGGCCGGTTAGTTGAAGGGATTAGTTAAAGATGAAGAAGCCAACCTGCTTGTAGGAAACAGAGGCCTGGAAGAGGATGGCAAAGCTGGGAAGTTTCCAGCTTCTCTCACTGAAGCAGGAAATGGCAGAAGAGAATCTATTATTTACTGCGAAAACACAAGCTTTTCCTGTTTCCATTCTTAAGTACACATTTGGAAAAGACTAAGGCAAACCGAATATAATATAATACAAAACAAAACAAAAGTAGAGTAAGGGTAGGGTGATGACTGAGAATGTTCATGCTTTCTTGGATTGTTTTTATAAATGTAGGTGAACTAATAAATGCATGCAATGTGAGTTGGGGGTGCAGGAGTGTGGATTTCATGAATGAAAGGATTTCATGGTTTGCTATCTGTTGTGTGTGATATCTGAGAAAACGAATTGGGCAGGAGGTCAAAGCATAAACCCAATGCCAAGACTATATTCTTTTGTAGGAATCTAGAGTCTGTTTCCTACATTTCATTAGGATGAAAAGTATCTGAAACTATGTGTTTTGGGGGGAGTTGGAGATGATGAAATTATATCATAAATGTAACTTTAGGGCAGAAGGAAATTCAACTTCTATTTTGGTTTCCAATATTGGACTCTTAAGTGAAATAAAGAAACCAAGTAACAAAGCTACTTTGGAAAAATTGATAAACATTCAAGTGAGTTTAGGATAGCATTATGAGGGCTGGTAAGTTTATGAGTTTGTTTTAAAGTTGTCTCTTAGTAAAATCACTAGAAGCTATGATGGTCCCAAGTTCAAGGAATATGATCCAAGTACAGAGATTTCCTAAACCTGTAATCCCTGGACCAGTTATGCGTCTCATCATCTTTTGAAGACTTTGTTAAAAATGAAAATTTGAGACCCTGAATTTTGGTAGTACTCAGAAATCTTTGGTTTTAACAAATGCTGCAGGGAAATTTGTTGCTTGCTAAAGTCTAAGGACCATTGTCATAGGCAATTTCTTTATCATAAGATACACAAGAAGACAAGGAGAAAGAGAGAGAGAAGAAAAGGTAAAGTGATATATTAATAGTTTTTTGGTCACTTTTGCTGTTTTGGAATATTCTATCTTAATCCAAAAGTCTTAATTAACAAAATAAAGAAAAAAATGTATAAGTACACTACACTTATCATGTGATTGCTTTAGCAGTGTTTCTTACGGAATTTAAAAATGAAACTCATGTACTTCAGAGGTGGTTTTGAATTATTGGGTTAAAATCATTTAGCGCTTGCTATTCAGAAGTGTGTAAGTTCCACACTCTTTGCTTATGGCTTCAACTCTCCCTGAAATCAGGGCTGTATTTCACAGTATGGATGGTAATTATTAATCTTGAGGTTGCCATTATATTTTCTGTAAATGGAGGTGTAAATACTTTCTGAAAAACAGCATCTGTGGCTGAGAGCATTTTGGAGAAGGCCTTCAAAATGGCTTTATCTCACATCTTCCCAGGTGCTAGCAAAGAGATAAGCCCCAATTGGACTTCTAAGCAGAAACTGGAATGGGGGCAGGTAGATTGATTTAAGAGGCCAGGTACAAAGCTATCTCATAAAACAGCCCATGCTTTGTGGGTTGGATATCTTTCTTTCTCTTTTTCTGTCTTTTATTTTTTTTTTACCTTTTTCCTTTCTTTTTTCTTTCTCTTTCCCATTCTTTTCCTTCCATCTTTACTCTTTCTCTCTCATTTTTCTTTTAATGCTTAAACCAAATACTAATTAAGTATTTAAGCCCTTCTCAGTTCACTTGGAAAACAAGGGAAGAGAAACACTGTTTTAAGTTCACTTTCTACTTAAAACAAATAAAAGAGAAGTGGAAAGTACAAAAGGAATAAGAAAGAGGAGAGAATACCTCCCCAATACTACTATTCTAGTATAATAGATTGTA